TACACAACATAAACACTGCTTTGAGTTTGTCCTAGAAAAAAAATCTGTTAATTAGGATTTATTTTTTCTTTCATTCCCTCCTTCTCTTCCTCCTCCTCCTCCTTTTTTTAGACAGTGTCTCACTTAAGTTGAGGTCTTGATAAATTGCTGGCCTCAAACTGATCCTCCTGCCTCAGCCTTCCATCTCAGATTACAGGAATGTGCCATTTAACCAGTACATTTATTTTTTTATTTTTTTAATATTTATTTTTCAGTTTTTGGCGGACACAACATCTTTGTTGGTATGTGGTGCTGAGGATCGAACCCGGGCCGCACGCATGCCAGGCGAGCGCACTATCGCTTGAGCCACATCCCCAGCCCTAACCAGTGCATTTATTAATTCTTATTCCTTACAAGTCTACAAAATCCTGTTTGGTTGGGTGTGGTGGCATACACCTGTTATTCCCAGTGATCTAGGAAGCTGAGGTAGGACTTGGCAACTTAGCAAAAACCTGTATCAAAAGAAAAAATAAATAGGGTTGGGATATAGCTCAATAGTAGAGTACTCTGGTTCCATCTCCAAACTGGAAAAAAAAAATTTTTTTTCTAAAGAATATTCATGACACCTTGAAATGGTATAAAATTAAAATATCAGGGCTGGGGATGTGGCTCAACCGTTAGCGCACTCGCCTGGCATGCGTGGGGCCCGGGTTTGATCCTCAGCACCACATACAAAGATGTTGTGTCCACCGAAAACTAAAAAATAAATATTAAAAAAAAATTTTTCAGTGTGGAGCCTGGGGTTGTGGCTCAGTGGTAGAGGACTTGCCTAGCACATGTGAAGCACTGGGTTCAATCCTCAGCACCACATAAAAATAAATAAATAAATAAATAAAAATAAAGGTATTGTGTCCATCTACAACTAAAAATATATATTTTTTAAAAATTTCAGTGTCATAAATAAAGTCTGCTTGGAACCAGCATGTCTATTTGTCTACTTATCATCCATCTGTGGCTACTTTTGTACTGCAACAAACAGAGGAGAGTAGTTGCAACAGAGGGATGACCTGTAAAGCCTAAGATATTGACCATCTAGTTCTGTAAAGAAAAATGTTGCTCAACCCTGAACTAGAGCTGAGGAGTCTCATTTTGTGATGAAAGAGGCAGGCAACCTGTAATCCCACCTGCTTGGGAGGCTGATGCAGGAGGATTGCAAGTCCCAAGTCAGCCTCAGCAATTTATCAAGGCCCTAAGCAACTCAGTGAGACCCTGTCTCTAAATAAAATACAAAACAGGGCTGGGGATGTGGCTCGGTGGTTAAGTGCCCCTGGGTTCTATCCCCAGTATCCAAAGAGAAGAGAACTAGCAACCTAGCTCCCAGGGCAAGGGGATTCTGCTCCCATTAGTGGGCAGGCCCTGTACCTGCCTGTTAGCCTAGAATCTCAAGGATAAACAGTCTGCTCCTTTTTATAGTCACCCCAATCCTCATTTCTCCACCTTTTTTCCCTTTTCACTCAAAGTTCTGTTGAACTCTTTTAAGGGATTCAGGCAAGGCTTAGAAAAGTATCACATACAATTCCAACTTGGGACCTTTTTCAAACTACTGGGCCTCTTCCTCAGGCCACTGCAGCACTGCTCTCTGGCATTCAGAAGAAATGAGCTAATCTGTCTTGTTTCTGTACCTCCCTTTCAATTGAGGTGACATGTTCCCTAGGAGCTGATTGTCATGTCTCATATTTCTCGAATCTACCCACCTTCAAACCTCAGCCCTGAAATACCTTCCTCTTGAGTTGTCCCCCACCTCCTAGGTCAAGGAACCCAAGATCAGTTTGGTGATTGTTGCCAGTTATGCTGAGTTAACTCAAAACTGTTTCTCTTGTTGACAGGCATAGACTTAGGTACTTTCCTGCGACTTTCTACTTCCTGTATAAAGGAGGAGTCTCTCACCTCTTCATCACTTGCCTGTGACAAATAAACCCCTCATGCTTTAAGTTCCCCCACCCAGCTGCCTCACAGCAGCAGAGATGATGGATTTGAAGGGTATTTTTTTTTGTGGGGGGTACCAGGGGCACTCGACCACTGAGCCACATCTCCAACCCTGTTTTTGTATTTTATTTAGAGACAGGGTCTCATTAAGTTGCTTAGCACCTCACCATTGCTGAGGCTGGTTTTGAACTCATGATCCTCCTGCCTCAGCCCCCGGAGCCGCTGGGATTACAGGCGTGTGCCAGTGCCCCCTGTTTGAGGGGTATTTTGGGAAGAGAGGAAATAAGCCTATGACTACTACATCTTATCTCCCCAAACCATAATCTACTCTATCAAGATGCTCCATGGTTCAATTTACTCTGGTGGGAGAGGATGTTAAGATGGAGAGCAAGAAATTAAAAAGAATCTGCTGGAGAGGATCTGCATTTTGTTCTCTGGCCCTCGGCTGGCAATGTCTACCTAAATCCTCAACCTTACTTCTCATACGTGTTTTCTGAAAGAAGAAACATGACTTAAGACTGAGACACTCTTGAACTAACTGGGCCAGCAGCCTAGTTCTTGTGCTTTTCACTCCCAGTTATCAGAGAGGCTGAACCCGAAAGAGTAGAGGGGAAGGGAATCAGGCCACCCCTGCAGCTGTGAGCACCTGCTTACTAGGGAGGCAAGACTAGGGGGTTGGGGAAGTCTAGGAGCTAAATTTAGCCCGAAGTCTGCAGCTTAAATTGGGTGGGTATTTACCCGCTGGGAGGGGGAAGGGAGAGGAATCCTGACCCAAATGAATTGTTTCTTTTTCTTTTTTTTGGGGGGGGGGGCGGCTGGGGATGAACCCAGGGCATCACATACTAAGCATGATCTGCCACTGAGCTACACCCTCAGCTTCCAGCTGAACTTCTGAGACCTCATAGTTTACCCCTAAATACACCTGGACTAGAACCACCATCTGGTCCCCCAGCAAATATTTGAAAATGAGGAGTCCTAGACATGCATTGCCATCTACATGCTTGATCTCTGTACGTGTCAAATGTGTCCCTATCGCCACCACACTCCCATTTTGATTCTCAGGGGTCTAGTTCCTCTGAACTCTTCCCTAAATTCCCCCTCCACACCAAAACTAGGGGCTCCTCCACCACATCTCTCTGCCCTTTGGGTGGCAGCTTCCTCTCTCAGACCCTCCATAGAGTTTCAGAGGTTAGCAGAGGTGTCTGGCCACACAACCCCTGTCTTGGGGGCCAGGAAGAGGGGTTGCTTGGGGTCAGGTTCCCCTTCCTAAGAACTTCCACATTGTCTAGAGGAAGGAGTCTGTAGGGGCTGCACGGAGTCCTAGCTTTCAAGTGAGAGGAAAAAAACAAACCCCAGATGAGAGCCACTTGAGAAATGAGAGTTGGAGACAGCGAGGGGACTCCAGGGGTTCTGGGAAAGAGAAAAGAGGTGTTGGAGGCTGGGGGAACCCCACAAAGAGAAATGGCTTCTTTCTCCACCTGTGATTGGTTCTTAGACTCAGACCAAACTCCAAACCTGCCCAGCAACAGCCTTAAGAGGCTAAAGAGGGAGGGGAAGGGCTGGCCAGTCAGCTGAGCTGCGCCTCCACCCAGCTTGCAGCCTGTTTCCAGGAACTGTGGGGAGCGCTGGGGTTCTGCACTGCACCTCCTCCCCTCCAGACTCCACTTTCAGCCTCTGGCATCTGCAGACTGGCTTAGGTCCCATTGCCTTGGTTCCTCACCTGTTTGACTCCCCTTACAGGTCCATGGGGAACCCACCTGACATCTCTTTAGACTGGACTGTCCCTTTCCTTGACCCTTTTCCTCACTCCTGCCCTGGCTGAAGTCTGTTTCATTTTCCTTCCCTTCCGTCACTCTTTTTGCCTCCTTCCTCATCTAGTCTCCTTCCAAGATGCCCAAATTCTTCCTTCTCAGCCACATCCAGCCCAGGGAAGGCCTGAGTCCCAGGTGGCACTCTGAGGGGAGGAAGACTGCTAGAGAAACCCTGTCCCCCAGGCAGCTCTGGTGTCCTTCACTGGACCCAGTCATGGGGTTAGACTGTTTCTTCAGGCCCTTTAGCCATGGTCTTAGCCAGCCCCCCGGCAGAGGGGAGGCAGATATGGGAAGGTGRCCTCAATGGAGGGGCAACTACTCCTGTCACCTGTTGGGAAATCTGGTCTCCATAAGTAAGGAACTCAGGTGTCAGAACTGCAGGGTCACACCACCTCAGAAAGTTATTTACCTTGAGAAAAAAAAAAATGGAGGGGGTGGGGGAGCAGAGGGAGGAGACTAGGGTGAGACACTTCTGAAGAATGTGTCCTTGGCAGGACATTCAGTACTGTGGGCGCTCCCTCACCCAGCCCCAAGGCCCTTAAAGGCAGGCCAGGCTCCTCCTCCTCTAATCATTTCCTCTTCAAGGGACAGGGGGCCAGAAATCATGCCCCCACCCCCACAAAAAGCAATAAACCAAGAGCTTAACAGGAAAATTGCTAATAACAGAAAAGAAGGGGAGGCAGAAAGACAGGGCCAAAGAGAAGAGGAAAACAGCCCCAAAAGGCCAGCCATTCAGCTCAGCCTCGACTGAAAAAAGTACTACTGTGTTCCCAGACTTTACAGAGAGAGCCTCCCAGGAACCCCCATAGCTCAGGAGCCAAGATCCCAACTTCACATCTAAACTGGGAGAAGTGGTGACTCCTAGTGGCCAGTGAGTGACCTGCAAAACTGGGGCTGGCCAGGATCCTCTCCCTTTGACCCAGGCACGTTTTTTTGTTTTTGTTTTGATATTGGGGATTGAACCCAGGAGTGCTTAACCACTGAGCCACATCCCCAGCAGCCCTCCGCTTTTTACGCATTTTTGTTTTTAAAGAGAGAGGGAGAGAATTTTAATATTTATTTTTTAGTATTTGGCAGACACAACATCTTTGTTGGTATGTGGTGCTGAGGATCGAACCCGGGCCCCACGCATGCCAGGCGAGCGCGCTACCGCTTGAGCCACATCCCCAGCCCTTTATACATTTTTTTTAACCTTTATTTATTTTTAAGTGGTGCTGAGGATGGAACCTGAGTACCCTTCCTACCTTCAATTCTGACCTCACACTGCTTAGGTGGCTCAGATGGCTGTGTTCCCACAAGGACAATGAAAGGCATATTTTTTACTTGTCATAATCAACTTTAATAAAAAATAAATTAGTTCTGGGGAAGGAACTATTTTAGGAGGTGGGAAGTGGGGACAGAGGCTAGAGTGTCTTATGGTAACATTTCTTTTTTCCACCCTCTGCCCAACTGGTCCCTGTTCCAAGAGGCAATCCTTTGTGGGTAAAGCAGGATTGCTATGGCTGACCTCCCACCCTTAGCTAAGTAGGGAGAAAGAAATAGAGTCTGGGTAAGGGGAAATGGGATCCAAGACAAAAGGGTGGTTCATTTTTAATTTCTGGAGTACTGGGGATGGAACCTAGTACTTGTCTTGGGCATGGTAGGCCGGTGCCCTACAACTGAGCTCCACCCCCCAGTCCAGAAGGATGGTTGAGAAGATGTGAGGCCTGAACATAAGAGATGAGGTTTAGGGCACAAAATTGTGTTTGATGGAGAAGCCACACTTTTTAAGTAGCTCAGATTAGTAAGGAACTGCAAACTTGCTTTTCTCTCAGCTTAKAAAGTCTCAGGGAAACAAGTATTGTCCCCTCCCCACTCCTTATCAATTTAAATAATTTCTTTTTGGGAAGTGACACACAGGTAAAGGGGTGCACACCCCTGCAGGCCCAGATACACATCTGGGGACATCTGTGCACACACACCATCATACCACATATACAGACCCAGTCACACATCTCGATAGTCCCCTTCAGTCACTTTGCCCCTGTAGTCATTCTGGAGGACACCCTGGTGAGACTGAGGCAGTCTAGAGAACCAGGGAGTACAAAGTGGGTTCACTGATGAGACCAGTGATGGCATAAGAAAACATAAGGAGAGAGTGTCCTGGAACCATTTCAGGCAGGCTCCAGGGGGCTCCGCTCCAGGACATGGGCACAAGAGCGGCAACAGGTGGCTGTGTAGTAGGGGTAGACGCAGAGCCGAGCCTGTACCACCAGGGGGCAATGTGGAGAGCTGTCCTTGCACTGATCATCTGAGGACAGAGGAGGCCAACAGGTACAAAGGTTCATCCATCCGGAGCTGTACTCCCCTCCCACTGGTCCTCTCTCTCCTCCACCCAGACTTCAGCTAACTCCACTCTGTTGGGGGTTGGGGAGAGGGGGCATTTTACCAGGGCGCTGGTTGCAGGGTTGGCTGTTACAGGGTCGTTTCCTGGAGGGTCGCAGGTGTGGAGGGCATCGGGTGCTGAGGGTCTGGTTGGCACTCAGGCACTGGATCTCTCTTGTCTGTGTGCCCCCCTGGCAGGAGCGAGAACACTAGGAAGAACACAGCTATCATATCAGACTTTTGCTGACCCCAGGGTTCCTCTTTAACCCCAGGCTACCACCTCCTTCTCTGAAAGGTAGTGATGGTACATTATCTGGGGACATTATGAAATCCCAAGTGGAGAAGGCCCACCTGTCCTCCAAGTCTATAGAAAATAGGACAATGTGAAACCTCAGCTGGGCTTGTCCTGGGGCTCAGAGACTTGGGGTGGGGCATGCAGTGTGATGAGCACTCCCCCTTCTCTGGAGGCCCACGCTGGGCAGGGCAGGGAACCAGGCACTCACCGGACTCCAGGGAGTAGCAAACCACTGGTCCTGGCAAGGCTGACCCTGACAGGGCTGCAGAGCAGGGGGCCTGGGCAGGTGGGAACAGTTGCTAGGAGAAGTCACATTGAACTCAGTCCCCAGTTTGGACACACAGATGACATCTCTACGCTGTGTGCCAGAGCCACATTCTGAGGAGCACTGATACAGGGGAAGGGAAAACAGAAATCATTCCCAACTGGGGATGTGAACTGCTGCTGGGACTGGAATCCCGGGCTCTGTCCCCCTCCCAGACCCTCAACTCACCTCCCCCCAGGGCCCTGTGTACCAACACCTGGTGACCTCACAGGGCCCCAAGCTGCAGGCACGCATGTCAGGAGGGCGGCTTCCTGGTGGGCAGCTCTGCTCACTGGTTCCTGTTCCTGCTTCCTCTGGCCCTGCCCTAAGCATCTCCCCACTCCTGAGACAGACCACAGAACGTCTCTGGATCCCTGTCCCACACTCAGCTGAGCACTGTTGAGAAGTAGAGTGTCCTGTATGAAGGGAGGCTGCTGGTGACTGGAACAGGAAGGAGGGGGCTTTGGGATGGAAGCATCCTGGGTCCTGTTCCCAGAGGTACCAGCTGGGCAAGGGTAATGACAGTTGCATGTCCAGAACTCTTATTTCTGAGTTCCCAGAATAAAGCACATAATAGGTATTTTTTCAATAAATGCATTTTGAGCTGTGTTGAGAAGACTGATAGGATGGACTGAGTGGGGTCACCAGGGATACAGGACTTGGTTAAGGGGCTGTGGGGCCCACCTTGGAACTCCATTCACTGTGGAACCAGGCTGTGGTACAGGGCCCCATGTCACAGGCCTCTCTGCTGGGGGGCTGGGGGGGGCCCGAAGCACACTCCTGCTCATGCACTTCCTTGCCGTTGTTTCCAACACAGCGAACTTGCCTGCTCCTCTGACCTCGGCCACACCGGACAGAACACTTGAGGGGGTGAGGGGGAATCCATGAACCAGGATCTGCCTTTGATAGCCACCCCTACCCAGTGGGTACAAGCTTTTGTGGGTTGAGGAGGAGGTTGAGCATGGGGCTCCAGGCCTCCAGTCTCTGGCTCTTCTCTTATGTGACATATATTAGGATTTCATATGAGATCCTGTTTGTAAAAAGTTTCTGTAGACGAAGAAGGAAGTGGAAAAAATACTAATCTAGTTCATTGATGTCCAGTTCTCCGGGGTCCTCCTTGCATAGGCCCACTTACCTGGCTCCAGGCAGAGCCCACCTCCCAATGGCCACAGAGGCGCAACTGACAGGGCTGGGTCACGTTGGGCCTGGGAAGATGTGCACAACGTTCCGGAGGCACAGAGGAGCCACCTGCCCCAAACTCTTGCCGGCAGTGCAGCTGGCGGTGCTGGGTGCCTGGGCCACAGGAGCGACTACAGGATGTCCACTCACCAGTCTCCCAACTGTGGGCACAGGCAGGGCAGGGGAGAGGGAGAGACAGGGACCAGAGGTGTGGGGTTGCCGTGTGCAAGGAGAAGAAACATACTGGGCATGGGGCCCCGCGGAGGAGAGTGGGCACCTCTAGCATTTGGAGTCTGGTTCCTTGTGGCAACTTAGACTGCCACTGCGGGGTTTTCTGGCTGTCTGTGGGGCGTCTGTCAGTCATTCTAATCTTTTCATTCTTTTTTTTTTTTAATATTTTTTTAGTTGTTGATGGACCTTTACTTTATTAATTTATTTTTATGTGGTGCTGAGGATCAAATCCAGCGCCTCACTCATGCTAGGCAAATGCTCTACCACTGAGCCCCAGCCCCAGCCCCAATCTTTTCTTTTCCTTTTTTTGGGTACAGGGGATTGAATCCAGAGGGCTTTACCATTGAGCTACATCCTTAGCCCTTTTTATTTTTTACGGCAGGGACAGGGTCTTGCTAAGTTGCTTAGGGTCTCACTAAGTGCTGAGGCTGGCCTTGAACTTGTGATCCTCCTTCTTCAGCCTCCCATCATTGGAATTATAGGCATGTGCCACCCCATTTGGCAAAAGGAATTGGATGTTTGCCAGTTAATTTCTCTTGCCTCTTTTGATTTCTGTTTTTTCTTTTTCCCCCTTGCTGCTGGTGATCAAACCTAGGGCCTGACCCAGGCTAAGCAAGTGCTCTGCCACTGAGCCACATCCCCAGTTATCTCAACCATTCTAATCTAGTATTGATTGTCTCTTTGTAGCCAGGAAATGTCAAGTTGAATGCACAGTCCAGGTAAGATCCKGTGAGTGAGGAGCAAGTCCAGGAGCAATTTGTGTGTTTCTAGTATCCTGACCCTCCTTGTGGGCTCTACTCACTATGGAGGACACGGCGGGTTGTGGCAGGGTTCAGGGTTGGCTGGAGGCCTGGCACCCATGGCACAGTTGTGTTCGTCCAGCTCCTCTCCTGACTCTCGAGAAATGCACAGGAAAATGGGGCGCCAAACACCTGAAGGGGAGGAAAGGGTGGTCAGGGGAAGCAGGATGGTTTAAACCCAGTTTCCATGGGGTCCCAGGTCCCAGGTCAAGGTGTGGACCCACGATCTAGGATACGCAGTTGGGAGTGTTGAGTTGGGCATCTGGACTGAAATGTCAGGAACATAGGTCTGAAGTCACCTTCTCCACAGGACGCTGAGCACTTGGAGTGTCCCACTTGTTTCCAGTATCCAGCTGGAGACCCCAGGGGTGTCCTGAGATGGGCAGGGGCAGGCATCTGGGGGATCCGTACCTGGCGCTGGAGGGTGCCTGGGGTCCGGACTGGGCGGGGTGCTGAAGCAGCTGGGGGCTCCCCCCGCAGCCTCTCTGTGCAGGGGAGTTGAGAAGGCAGATCAGATGCCTCCTACCACCTGGAGCTCCTCTCACTGCTCCACTCCTCCTGGGTCTGGGGGTCAATGGAGTCTTACCAGGCTGAACCCGATGGATGGGAGACTCCGCAGTGGCGCTCTGGGGGACTGGAGGTGGTGAAGCGAGGACATACTGATAAAAGACCCCAGGGTTATCCTCCTGAAAGATCATCTGGGGGGGAGAGGAGGTGATAAGGGGGGGTGTGGGGGTCCTCCCACGGGACCCCTGTGGCTCTGCTCTTAGAGGACAGGCCTTCCTCTCGGCCCCCGGCTCACATAGACATCCACAGGCTGGGTTGTGGGGCCGTCAGCTGACAGACTCTCTGCCTTTCCCTCCTCCCGAGGAGGACGGTTATACTGGAAGACAGTTCCACCAGCTGTGTAGGACCCAGGGGGATCCACAGCCCAGTTCCCATTGATGATGGACCTGCCCCCTGGGCCACGAAGAGCTGAAAGGGAGAGATCCGGAACTCGGAGGTTAGTCATTCTGTCCTCCTCCCCACGACTTCCTGACCCTTCCGTGCATCCCACCCAGCGCTTAAGATACCCTAAGCCATCTCGGCTTCCTCATTTCCCCAGAGAGAGGGGGAACTTCTCCCTGTTTGGCTTGTGTGTCGTGCTGAATAGGAGCCTGGGAAGCAGAACCTAGAGACCAGAGGGAGGTGGGGCAGGACGGGGGCCAGGTGCTCACCAAGGTAGTTGGAGCTGGGCCGGTGCTGGGCAATCTGAAGCTGGGAGGCGCCCGCGGGAATCCAGAGGATCTTCTGATAGCCCAGAGGGCCCCCTCGGTCCGTGAGGTTCCCCGAAATGAGGCGACAGGTAGAACCGTCACCCCCACAGACTCCACAGCCATCTGGACGCTTGCCAGACCCGAGGATGCCATCACAGCCAGGGCTCTGGGAAGAGCGAGGTGAGGCAGGGTCACATGGAAACCAGATGCCCCCTTGCTCACCCTGGTCCCCGCGGGGCCCTCAGCTCATCACCAGCCCCGGCGCCCCGGCCACGCTCGGGGATGTGGGCAGAGCCTGGAGGGAGCCCTCCGCAGCGTGGCAGGCCAGAGCTTCCCCTGGGGGAGTCTGTTACTTTGTGGTTGACTCTGTGCACATGCACACCCTGTCCTCCCTCACCAGACAGCGTCCGGCCACACAGATGTCGGGGGCTCCAGGCTGACACAGGGTCCCATCCTGGACCTTTTCAGTGTGACGGACGTAGAAACGGAAGCCGCGGGGACGGCAGTTCAGCTCACAGCGTTGGGATCCCTGAACTAGAAGGCAAGGTGGAAGGTTGGTTAGCCAGGTCCCTGGTGAGAGATCAAGAGTGAAAGAGCCCTGAGTCCAGCTGGGGATGTGGCTCAAGCAGTAGCTCGATCGCCTGGCATGCGTGCGGCCCGGGTTCGATCCTCAGCACCACATACCAACAAAGATGCTGTGTCCGCCGAAAACTAAAAAATAAATATTAAAAATTCTCTCTCTCTCTCTCTCTCTCCTCTCTCACTCTCTCTTTAAAAAAAAAAAAAAAAAAAAGAAAGAAAAGAAATGAAAGAGCCCCGAGTCCTGACAGCAGCTTTACTGATATCACCTTGGGACATCTTGAGGTGAATTGTGTGACTGAAGGAAACATAACAGTCCCACACATTGAAAGACGGGTGAGAGGGCTGGGGACATAGCTCAGTTGGCAGAGTGCTTGCCCTGCATGCACAAGGCCCTGGGTTCAATCCCCAGCACCACCAAAAAAAAAAAAAAAGAAAGAAAAGAAAAAAAGACTGGTGAGAGCCTGGCATGTCAGGAGGTGAGGCAAGAGAATCGCAGCTTTGAAGCCAGCCCCAGCAACTCAGCCACGCTGTAAGAACCCAGTGAGACCTGTCTCAAAATTAAAAAAAAAAAAAAAAAAAAAAAAGACTGTTGATGTGGCTCAGTGGCTTAGCACCCTTGGCACCAAAAACAGAAGAAAGAAAAAAAAGAAGAAATGTTGATCAGGTCAATAGAGGCCATGAGACCATCAAGGTTTGCTTTTTGTTTGAAATGGGGTTTCTCTATATTGTTCAGGATGGTCTCAAAGTCCTGAGCTTCAGTCATCCTCCTACCTCTGCCTTCTAAGTAGCTGGGACTACAGGTGCTTGTCACTGCCCCTGGCCATTAAGGGACTTCTACCACCTATGATTACATAAGTTCAAAGCTTATAAGGGTTGTCTTGGTGCAACTGAAACCACCAGGAGCCGTGGCACCTCTGCTCCTACTGTGACGTCTGGACAGGACCTCCTGTGTCACATCAACTTCCCACCTCTTAGGATGGACATATTCCCAGAGGAAGCTAACCAAAGGACACTTCTGGATACCTCCCTCTCCCTTTGCTGACCACCTGTCACCATCTGACATCTAAAGTCCCCTCCCCTTTCCAGAGCTGGGCTAAATCTCTCTGGCCCAGCTCAGGGGAGTAAGAAGGTATGACAGAAGAGAAAGAGAAGGCCTGCGTGGGGAAACACGGGGCCCAGAGTGAGGGGGGCCCTCCCTCCATCACGCCCACCTGCTGTCCGGCAGCTAGCACCTCACCTTCAGTGAAGGGCTCCCACTGGTACAGCTGACCCATGAATTCCTGGGAGTCAAAGGCTGCGCACTGTAGGGCCCGGGGATCTGGCTGCTCAGGTGGGCAGGGCTGAGGTGGGGGGACACAAAAGAGAACCGGGAAGGGATACTTGGGTGTGGGCCAGGGCTGGATCTGGGGAGTTGGGGAGGGTCAGGTCTATAAAAGCGCCTCTAACCCCCACCCTGAGATCAGATGCCAGAACCCTTCTCCTTCAGGTCCAGGTCAGACAAGGACCCAGACTCAGTGTTAGGGAACCAGATTGGAATTCTGGGCTAGGGAGACAAGGCCCAGGGAAGGACTCACCCCTTGGCTGCAGGCTCTCAGCTGCTCAGTCTCCCCAGAGCATCTTGGGACAGGGCTGCTAGGAGCAAAGAGGCTCCAGAGGGAGCTGGAGTGGGGTCCAGCATTCAGCAGAGGCAACCAGCCATCTGGTGGGTGAGGGGCAGGCTCCCTGCGGGACCCATAAGGGTTTCCCCCAGGTCTCCAATGCCTTTGTCTCTGCTGACCTTGTCCCCGAGGGACAGGAGGGAAAGGGTCAAGGCGGCTTCCTGCTCCCCAGGGACTGGCCCAACCCTGAGAATGTGGCATTCTTGGTTGAGAAGACATGTGGAAAGAGCCACTTTCTCCCAAGGAAGGGGAAGGTGAGAGAGACCCTGTGCTAGAGGCTTGGGCTATGGGGTGAGGCTGTGTGGGGACAGGACTGGTTCTTGGGGGCACCTCGTTCTGAGCAGCTTCAGACTTTGGGGGTTCTTCTGGGAGGGATGGGATAGGGGCAGATGGTTCTGGAGGAGGGAGCTGAGTCTGGGAGCCGGGGTTTGCAGAGGATGGCTCTGCCCTGGGACTCAGGGATGGAAAGTGTCCTTCCCTTCCAGAAGAGGTCTGGGGAAGTTCAGATCTGGAGGACCTCGGGGGGTGCCTGCGGCTCCTGTGCAGTGGCAAGGCAAAGGGCACTCTTCCATAGCCGAACATTCCTGGCTTGATGGGGTCTCGAACCCGGGACCTGAAGAGTGTTGCAGACATGGGGTCAGCTCTGGCCATCACTGACCTGTCTCTCCAGCCTGCTTCTTGGCACCAAAGACCAACTTCCTAGACTACAGTGTCCTCTACTACCCTTTTCCTCACCCAAGCCCCAACCCCTTTACCCGAGGCCCACCCCTGTCCTCACAGCCTTACCTCTGTGGCCCCTGAGCTTCCTGGGTCTCTTCTTTCCCTAGCTGGGAAGCAGGACCTCGAAGGGGGCCACCCCTTCCCTGAGGCGGTGGCCTGTACAGGGAGTGGGTTTCTCTGGAAGTCTGAGGTCTAGGGCCTTGACCCCGGGGTCGAAGGGCTTCTGGATGTCTTGGGGGTCTGGGAGGGAAGGGCAGGCCTGGGCGGAGCTGACATGTCCGGCTTCTGCGCTGCACCCCCACCCCACAGGGCTGGGAGCAAGAGGCCCACTGGTCCCAAGATCCCCAGACACCCTCAGGGCCCCGGCCCTCCTCTGGGGGTGTCTGAGGAGACAACACCTACACAGAGAAAAAGGGCAGACAGAATTAGAGTGACCTGAGGGGGACCCTCCAGGTACCCTGCCCAGGCCTGGAGCTGGGCAGTCGTTACTGGCTGAAGGTCAACATCAGAGGCGACCTCAGCCTTCGGTGTCCTTGTCAAGCGTTAGGGAGTTAGCCAGGGAGTTGAGGGGGCCAAGCATGAGGGAAGGGGACCACAGCTCAGCAGAAGGTGTGGGAAATGGAGACTTGGCCTGGGGAGGCAGCCTGGGAGGCTAGGGGAGACAGAAAGACCCCAGGCAGGGGCTGGTGGCCGCCCACTTGCCCAGAGCTCACCTCCTGGTCCAGGCAGAGCTGAGGGAGGGACAGAAGCAGCATAAGACACAGGCGAGGCCTGCAAACCAAAGGCCAGGATGCACCAGCGGAGCCAGAGGTGTTGCGACACTGCCCGCCCCTCCCCCCCCAGTGACTCCCACTTCTGCCAACTTCTCAGAAAGCAGAAGTTTCTCCTCACTTTCCTGGATCCTCCCAGTGACGCTTCCACCCACATCCATGGATGACCCTTCCCTCCTCCTCGCTGGCTGCCCCTCCTCTTACCTGCCCACCCACTTCTCCATCTCTCCGCCCGGCACTGCCCCTGGGCAAGGGAGGGGGGGGACCCGGCCAGGATCCCTACTCAGGCATCAGGGCGTGGAGACTGCGCTCTGCAGGGACAGAAGCCCGTGGTTACCTCTTCAGCCAGCTGGAGGGCTGAGAGAGGTGACTCCTCAGAAGGACATCTCGGGAGCAGGGGTAGGGGGACGAGTCCAACCCTTTATGATCTGAGGGTGGGAGCAGGAAGGAATGCTGCCTTCTCCATCTGCTGAAGCTACAGGGTGGGGGTCTGACCTCAGCCTCCCAACTCAGCTTGGTCCCCTCCCCTTGGCCCTGTAGGGACTTCTCAGCTCCTCCCTAAGTCCCGAGGAGGGGCTGTGGGGGGGGCAGCACAGGCCCAGAAGCTGTTCCAGGGTTTTATCTGGCCGGCTCCTGCCCTCCGGGGCTCCTTGGGAAGGTGGGCAGCAGGCTGGGCAGGACGTCAGACACCCCCTCTGTTTCCTACCTGACTCCGGCCTTTTCTTCCCTTACCAAGCTGCTTTATGGATGGAACAGGCCCATCTCAGCCTGTCTCTGACGCTTTTGGCCAAGGAATAAACTAAATGGGTTGATGGCTTCATCTCTAGAGAAGAGGGTGATTTAACTCCCCTCCATGCCAGCATCCATTCAGCATGGGCTCTGGGGGGCCTTATTCATGCAGTTATTTTTCTCTTGGGGCACAGCTGTAATGGCTGGGGAAACCTGGGAAGGACAGCCATGCAGCCAGAGCTGCCCTTGCTGCCCAGTCACAGCCCTTTCATTCTGGAATGCTGGGAAGTCCATTCTGGAGTCTAGCTCTGAAAACTGGGGAAGTAGGGCTTGGTCAAAGCCTGACTCACCCACCCATGCCCTCCAGTCCCTTCCTTCTCACCAGGAACCCTTCCCACCCCCATCCCCATCCCGTCTTAGTTCTGCTTTCCAGGAAAAAAAAAGCACTGTTTCTGTTGGATCTGAAAGGCACCCGTTGAAGAATCCAAGGAGGCCGAGCCAGCTTAGGGGCAGGAAAACGCAGAGGGAAGGGTAGGAATGCGCTTGGGGGTAGCACCACTCAGCTCCAGCCTCTCTGTTGGACCCCAGGACTCAGAGTTGGAGGGAGGGATCAAAGTGGCCAAGCCACAGGGCAGGGCCACCTCAGCTGCTTGGAGCTGGAGAGGGGGTTGATGGTGGCCTCTCTTTCCCCTGGCTGGGCTGGCCACTGAGGTCAGCAACTCCGCCCTGATGGGAGGGGGAGATAGGGTTCCAGAGAAGGACCCACATTCCAACCCAACTCTCAGCCCTCTGCCTGGATGTTACTTGGGGATGAAGGGAAGCAGAGACAGGGTGATGGTCACTGCCTGCTCCACTCCCCTCTCCTGGGCTCCCCTCGACTCCCCGGGTCTCTTCTTGCTGCTTCTCTTCACGGGTCTACCCAGTACACATAATCCTGTCCTGAGCTGGCTCTGGCAGTTCCCTGGAGAAGTGAGGGGTGGGGGGTGACGTGAGCTCCTGGGGTGGGGCCAGGCCTGGCTCCCTCTCTGGAAAAGTCTCACCCCACCCTCCCCTGCACAGCTGGGCAGGGGGCCGATACCCTCTGCTCTGTGGAAACAGACACACATTTGTGCTTTCACCCCTTTTCATGTCCCTCATCTGGTGTCTCTCTCTGACCAAGGTGAGGAAAGTAGAGGTCAGAACTGGTCACTCTGGTGCCAGGCTGGACCCTGCTCAGGACAAACCTGGGCTCCTTCTGGCCACACCTCCCACTCTGGCCAGTAGAGATCAAGGAGAGCGACTGGAGCAGAGCTAATCCCTTCTCCAACACCCAAGGGACTCTAGGAAATGGGCCACTGCTGGTGGGTGGGGGCTAGATAGTGTGGTTCTGGGCTGGCCGTGGAGAGTCCCTGTCCTGAGTCAGAATTCCTTCTTCCTCGTCTGACCCTCTCCTGGGGCCTGGAGGACCATCCAACAGGTGTCTGTCCTTTGGGTCAACCTCCTGCGCCATCAGGTTGAGCTGGATCAAAGGCACTCACCTACATCCCTGTCAGCGACCCTGTCCCTCGATTCCAGGAGTGAAAGTGTCTGTCGGGGGTGGGGAGGGAGGACATGCCCTCGAAAAGCATCCCCCTGGAGGAGGGAGGCAGAGGCGCCAGCGCGTGCAGGGAGGTCTTGGGTATGTTTTCCAACTTTACTATGTGCCTGGTAGGAAGTTTGGCTCATTGGCCGCCCGGAGGATGGGGCCAGAGTACCGGCGGATCAGACCCCCTCCCCAGGAATTCAACCCCAGGGGCTGGAGGATGGTCCGGGGTCGAGGTGGGGGCGCGACCGCTCAGCACGGGAAGCGGCGGCGGCGCGGGCTGGCGGTCTAGGCGCGGGACGGGTGGGGACAGGGGAGGCTCTACCTGCTCTGCGCGCCCCGTCGGCCCGCGGACCCGTCTGCGCCCGGGCGCTCTGAGCAGCCTGGCTCGGCGGCGGCCACTGCGGCCCCGGGCCGGGCTGGGGACACGGCCGCCTCCGGCCGAGGCTCCGCCCCGCGCCCCGCCCCACGGCGCCCCGCCCGCCACGCGCCGGGGCCCGCGCCCCTCGGCCCGGGGGTGGGGACCCCCGACCCCACGGCCGCGCCCGCCGGGCCACCCAGCCGAGGCCGTGGGCGGTCGGCCTCGGTGCCGGGCGCCCCCGACGGCCGGACTGGGAGGCGCCGTGGGTTTGGAGGTCCCCGCACCGCCTGGAGCTCGGCGCCCCAACACCGCGGGCCTCCGGACCGACTGTGGCGGGAGCACCGTGCCTTCCCAGGCTCGGCGGCCTCGAGGGTCGCGGGGCCCCGGGGCCTCTGTGCCGGTGGCCTGGGCAAGCCGCTGGCCCCAGAGCGGAACGCTGGCCGCGGACCGAGTTGGCCCCGCGCGACCACAGATCCACACGGGTCAAGGCCCTGTCCTCCCCACGGCCTCCCCTGCAAGCCCAGCCAGCTCTGTCCCCCGTGCGGTTCCGAGTGCCGAGGACCTCTGCGAGCCGCGTTTCTCCATGCACACCGCGAGGCACCCAGGCAGTAGCGCGAGGAAAGTGAGCTAAGGACGAGGCGGACTGACCCCACCGTGAACGTCCGCCGTGAACCGGGGGTCGGTCCTGCGATCTTGGTGAATAGGACCACCTCGTTTTCTCATCTCCAAAGTGGGGCTAACTTGACGTAGATAGACTTGAAGATACGATCCACTTATATTTGCAAGAATGCACCCCAGCTCAGAAGTGTTGGCGACATCGGGGAGGGGTGCAGGTTTGGAAAAGGTTTTCCCATTTTACTCTGTACGTTTGGGTTTTTTAACCACATGCATTGTCAATGTATTCAGGTTAAAAGTAAGTAATATATGTAAAACAGCGGGCATAGTGGAGATGATAAATGGTTACTATTTTTTTTTTAATTTTATGTTTTTTGATACTAAGGATTGAACCCAGGGGTGCTTTATCACTGAGCTCCAGCCCTTTTTATTTTTTATTTTGAGATAGGGTCTCATTGAGTTGCTTAGGGCCTCGCTAAATTGCTGAGGCTGGCTTTGAACTAGCCATCCTCCTGAGCAGATGGGATTACAGACAGGTGCCACYGCTCTGGGCTGGTCACTACTACCTTTAAATTTTTATTTTATTTTATTTTGATTAATGTTGTGGCTAATTGTGGGACTTGTTTTTATTTTTTTAATATTTATTTTTTAGTTTAGTTGGACGCAATGCCTTTATTTTATTTATTTTTATGAGGTGCTGAGGATCGAACCCAGGTCCTCGCAAGTGCTAAGTGACTGCTCTACCGCAGAGCCGAATCCCCAGCCCTACCTTTACATTTTTATTTGCCATTTACTCATGAGTCCAGTTCTGTTAAATCTATTCAGTGCTTTAAAGCTGCTTTTATTTTATTTTCTCCTCGGCACTGGGGATTGAACCTACAGTCTCTCTGCCACTGAGCTACATTCCTTACCCTTTTTATTTTGAATCAGGGGCTCACTAAATTGCCTAGGCTGGCTTCTAATTTGCAATCCTCCTGCGTCAGCCTCCCAAGTAGCTGGGTTTGTAGGCCATGTACCACTGCAGGCAGCGTAACTGCTTATTTGTAAGTGACTTGAACACACTTGCCTGTAATACCAGATGGCAAATTTAAAGCCAGCCTCTACAACCCCCTCTACACCATCCCCCCAAGGCCCTAAGTAACCAGAAAGAACTTGTCTCTAAATTTAAATATATACCTAGGTATATAAAAGGGTTAAGGATGCAGCTCAGTGATTAAGCTCCCCTGACTTCAATCCCAGGTATCAAAACTAAATAAATAAATGTGATTTGGAACCAGCATGGTGGGACATACCTGTAACCCAGTAACTTGAGAGGCTGACGCAGGAGGATTGAAAACTCAAGGCCAGCCTTGATGTGGCTCAGCGGTAAAGAACCCTGGGTTAAATCTCTGATAATAAAAAAGGTTGAAAATTTAAAAATAAAATAAAATAAAAGTGGCTTGGAGGTCAGTTAATCCTGGGCTCAGCAGAAGCAGATATTAGGTCTAAGAACATTGTGGGTGAAAATATAAAATGCTTGTAGGGGGGGGATATAGCTCAGTGGCAGAGCAAGTTCCTCTGTTTGATCCCCAGCAAAAGAACAGCTTTTATTTCACTCATTTTGCAGTATTAGGAATAAAACTCCAAAACAGAGCGATACCCCTAGCACTTCTTTTTTATATTTTTGAGACAGTGTCTTGATAAATACCAAGCCTGACCTTGAACTTGCTATCCTACTGCCTCAACTGGGTTTTTTTTTTGTTTGTTTTTGTGGCACTAGGGATTGAACCCAGGGGTGTTCTACCACTGAACGCTCCCAGACCTTTTTATGATTATGAGACAGGGTCTTGCTAAATTGCTAAGGCCGGCCTGGAACTTGCCATCCTTCTACCTCAGCAACCCCCTCTACACCCCCGCCCCCCCAGTCACTGGGATTACGGGTGTGCACCACCATGCCTCACTTCCCTGGGTTTTTATTTTTCAAGATACTCTGGTTAGAAATATGACAAATTACAAAAAGCAAACAACAACTTCAAACAGGACTGGGGCCACATTTACTGCAGGCCTTTATTGGTGCCTCTCAAAAGGTACTTGGGTTCTGGTCCTCCTTTTTCCCAAAGGGCTTGGGAAGAAACGGGTTAATGACCCACTCCCAGCAGGGTGGTTTATCAGGGACTCCTGGTGCTACACAGTCCCAACCCAGAGGCATATTTATAGTTCTGGGTTCTGAGGGGAAGCCCCTTTGCCCAGTTCTCAGAGTACAATGCAGACCAAATGCCTCCTGGGAGGCCAAGGGAGGTATTCTAGGTTAGGTAGCTTTCAGTGCTGCCTGTCACAGCCTGTSGGCTAACACTTATCTAGAAGGAGGCAAGGGAAAGGTTTGCCTTTGACATTTGTAACTGATGAGAACTGAAGGTCAAAAATAGTCTCTTCCATTAAGAAATGGCGACCAAAGAGCTCTCACCACAGCTGCCACTCTCCTGGTTTAGTGGCCTGAAAGAGTTGCATAAGGAAACTTCCCCAGACAGGTAGGGTGGTGGTCGCCTGGAATCCAGCTACTCAGGAGGCTGAGGCATGAGGATCACAAGCCCAAGCCCAGCCAGGCAACCACCTAGTGAGAGCCTGTCTCAAAATAAAAAATAAAGGGGCTGGGGATGTGGCTCAAGCGGTAGCGCACTCACCCGGCATGCTTGCGGCCCGGGTTCGATCCTCAGCACCACATACAAAGATGTTGTGTCCGCCGAAAACTAAAAAATAAATATTAAAATTCTGTCTCTCTCTGTCTCTTTCTCTCTCTCTCTCTAATAAAAATAAAAAATAAAAAGGGCTGGGGATGTTGATCAGTGATAGAACACCCCAGGTTCAATTCCCAGTATTTTTTTTTTTTAAGAGAGAGTGAGAGAGGAGAGAGAGAGAGAGAGAGAGAGAGAGAGAGAGAGAGAGAGAGAGAGAATTTTTAATATTTATTTTTAGTTTTCGGCAGACACAACATCCTTGTTGGTATGTGGTGCTGAGGATCGAACCCGGGCTGCACGCATGCCAGGCGAGCGCGCTACCGCTTGAGCCACATCCCCAGCCCCAATTCCCAGTATTAAAAGAGAAAAAAAATGAAAGAAAAAAAGAAGAGAGAAATTTTCCTATGCCTTAGTAACTTGTGAAGTATCAGATTAAGTTTGTGGAAGTTGTCTTAAGGATAAAAAGAAGTTTGTAAGGGCTTGGGGTATAGCTCAGTGGTAGAACACTTGCTGAGCATGTTCAATGCCCTCAATTTGATCCCCAGCATTGAAAAAAAAAGGAATTCTGTAGCTGCCTAATGGTGTAGCTCAGTGGTAGAACTTGTGCTTAGCATGAGAAGGGCCCTAGTTTCAGTCCTCAGCATCATAACATAGCTAATATGCCATAGCATTTGTCCTATTCTGCACCTGAGACGATGTGAGCTTTATGCATCTATCTCCCTCTGTCCTCATTAGGCAGAGACTGTCTCATCATTTACAGATTTGCAAACAAGAAGAAATTCCAGGAATTTGCCCCAAATCTCATAGCTAGTAAAAGAGAGAGCCAGTTTTCCTTTCCTTTTCTTTTTTTCCCCCATTGCTGGGGATTGAACCCAGGGGTGCTTTACCACTGAGCACATCCCCAGCCCTCTTTTATTGTGAGACAGGGTCTTATTAATCAGGTTGTTGAGGCTGATAGTGAACTTTCAATCCTTCTGCCTCAGTCTCTAGAGTTGCTGGAACTACAGGCTTGTGCCACCTCAGCTGGAGAACCAGTTTTCTAATCAGGCACTGTTATCCACGTATGTTGTATGCAAGTGAAATTTTTAAGAAATGTAAATGACAATACATTCAGAAAGTTTTGTATTGAATTAACACTGTTTAAATTAAGGTCTAGTATGAGAGATTGTCCCTTTTTAAAAATATTTTCTTAGTTGCCAGTAGACTTTATGTATTCATATGTGGTGCTGAGAATCAAACCCGGTGCTTCACACATGCTAGGCAAGTGCTCTACCACTGAGCCCCAGCCCCAGCCCAGATTGTCCCTATTCTAATACTGATTTTAAAGCCAATTTGTGTACAGGTCGGGCCCTGAAACTTTGGTGTAGGGTCATAATAACTATTTCTTTTTATTATAATATTTTTTTAATTTTTTAGTTATAGTTGGACACAGTACCTTTATTTCACTTATTTATTTTTATGTGGTGCTGAGGATTGAACCCAGGGCCTTGCGCGTGCAAGAGGAGCCACAACCCTAGCCCCATAATAACTATTTCTGAAAAGCCTGGTGTTTGCCCTTCTGCTCCCTCAGAATCATGGTTTGCTGAACTCCTTTGTTCCAAAAGAGACACTCCATGCCAGGCTGGTCTCCAGCCGTGAATTCCCTGTTCTAGTGTATTGTCACCTTGTCTCACACTGTTCTGACTCACCATGCTATATTTTTTAAAATATTTTTTTTTTTAGTTGTAGATGGACACAATAACTTTATTTTACTTTTTTATGTGGTGCTGGGGATTGAACCCAGTGCCTCCCGCATGCTAGGGGTAAGCGCTCTACCACTGAGCCCCTCACCATGCAATTTTGTTTTGTTTGGGGGATTGAACCCAGGGGCTCTCTACCACTGAGCTACAGCCCAGTCCTTTATTGCTTCATTTTCAGTCAGGCTTTTGCTAAACTGATCAAGTTGGCCTGGAATTTGAGATTCTCCCGCCTCAGCCTCCTGAGTAACTGGAATAATAGGCATGTGCCACCCTGCCAGCTCTAATGCTGTTCTTTTGACCTATTGGCCTTGGCTTGGCCCAGTTAGCCCATTGCCCATGACTGTTATGGGAGCACCCTGACACCTGTTCTCCCAGGAACCCAGAGGGCGGGGACCCCCTGTGCTGTTTACCTTTGTATCCACCACCTTACCTCACTCATAGCAGGCATTTAACAAATGCTTGTGGGATGAACCCAGGAGCAAGTGTGCTGAGCACTGCCTCTGCTCTGGCCACATTCCAGCACTTTCAGGCTGTTGTCTCCCTCCACTGGCCTGAACTGGCTTTGGGGTGTTGAAATAATGGAGAAACAGGATGTGAACCATTGGGTAAGGCGAGGATCAAGGCATGAATAGGGTGTTCTGGACACCTAATCACTGCTCTCTAGATGTCAAATTTGGTCATAAATTCCCACAGCCCAAATCAAGAAAACTTGAAATATAGTACTTCCATATTTCAAGTACTAGTGCTTCTCAGGCAGGCCCAAGGGACCTAGTGACAGATTTTGCCTCTGTACTGCCCTGAGCCATATGACTGCTGACTGGCGTTCCCAGAACAGGAAGTACCCA